CCAAAATACCAAATTTGATCTAATTTTAATACCAAATTTAGTGTCATTATTGGCGATGGCCTTACAAAAAATCTTCAACATTGTGTAAAAAGTACCATTAAAAATGATTTATATGACGGTTCAGAGTAATATAGTCAGATGTAAATCATTTTAAGATATGTATAATTATCAATTGTAGTATCCACTCTGTAATGGTTGTCGTAGTTTATAATAATATAATTAATGGGTATTAAAAATTATACTAACTTTTTACTCATTAATTTTAATTTACAAATAATAATATTTTCTACTTTGTAGAAAAATTAGTTCTGTGAATCTCAATTCAGTACCTGTCTACAGCCTCTGGATATATAAAACAGTGTAACAATTTGAATTGTGACAATTATTTTCTGTAATACATATTTGAGGTTAGATATATATATATCTCATAAATGGTATGCTACCTATACGTTGCTTACCAGTTTTGTAATCTAAATTAATGATTAGTAAGACTATTATTTGTTATATATAGCTGTGTTTTTCTTTGCGAAAAAACTGTATTTTCATTTCAATGAAATGATCCTATGTGATAAAACTGAAAACTTTACGTGTCATGTAACACAAAAGGAAAAAGACTGACTGTGTTGGAGTAATTTTTATTCTAATTTTGAAATAATGAAAAATGCAATAATAGAACAACAGGTGTATATTTTTTCATATTGCTCCCATCAATTCAATTTTATTACCTGTCTATAAAATTAATTAAAAATAATGTAATCTATGGAAAATGGATAAGAGTAGAGAGAGAAACAAGAATAAGTGTTTTCATATCCGATCTAGACTCACAGTAGAACCGGTAAACTCGGTGACCCGTAAATAATCTGGTTTGGATTTAAATAAAAAACCGTTAATTAAAAAATCCGAAAAAACCCGACAAAAACCCAAAAATCCGGTATTAACATGCCACCCAACACTAGTTAACCCGGTATAAACTCCAATTTTTCTTATGATATTTATAAAAAAAGTGATTAAACTTTTCATACAGTTTTAATATAAAAACAAAAACAAAATTATAAGATTTGTGATTCTTTGGACTTTGATGAAAGTTGTGCAATATTATTCGAAGAAAATAATAATCAAAAACTAAAATTTATGCCTATGACATTGTTAGACTATTATTTTCTTTTTGCTATTGAAAAATTATTAGAAGTTTGTATTTATGATTTTTAAAATTATTTTTATAATATTTTTATTTAGTTATTTAGTATCTTCTTTTTTTTAGCCGAAATTCTTGTTGGTTATTAAAACTTGATAAAATAGTGTATTTCATGGTGGAGGTAAATGAAGTAAAAAAAAATTTAAATATTGAATTATATTTTATATAAAAATTGATATAATCTTATATTTTTCAAGGATTAATAATATTATGTTCATATATATTACAATTTATTAATCTATTGATCTGTGGTTTAACCGTGGTCGACCCACTGATCCAATCCAATGACCTAGAGGATAATCCGGTTCAGTATTCATGTCAGGTTTATAAACATTGCTAAAATCACAAGATGTAAATAGAAAAAAAGTCGTGAAATTAGTGGTCACTGGACTTGTTTTGGGCACAAAAAAAAGTTTACTTTTCCAGCGAAACAGAAATTGATTTGTTACCTGAAATGATTATATCTAAGAACAGTTTAATATGAATCATATGAGATGACTAATAGCGTATGTTTTTTTTAAGGAAGTAACTAGATCTCGACTCGCACAACCGTGCGGGTTTTCTTTTTATTTAAAGTTTATAAAAAATTATCAATAGATAACAATATACTTACATATAAAATCTCGCAAAATACCAAATTGATAGATGTTAAAGTATCTTTTTAAACACAACATGAAAATGTAAATTATCATTAGAAAATATCTAACTAACAGTATATCTAAATAAATTTTAAAATGTATTGTATGCAAATTGCAGAAACTAAAACTCTATATTAAATAAGATTATAAATTTGATTATTTCAGATTATAATATATATATATATATATATATATATATCAAACTCAAAAATATATAATTACGTAATAACAATCAATAAGAATATAAAATAAAATATATAAAACAAATTACTATGTATTAATAATGACGAATTAAACAACAACACTGTAGAGTTATATAATATAGAACATAATATGTAATTCATATATTTAATTTTATTTAAAAAATATCAAAGTTTTATATTTTATAAAATGAAAAAAAATCTGTGTGGGTCATGCTCTAGTATATAGTTTTTTTTTCTTTAGGTTTTAGGAATATATAGTGCTATCTAGATAAATTTTATTTTCTTAAACAAAAAAAATTGCATTTCAAATAAAGGATAAAGATATGGGGTGATATTATGATTAAATTATGTAAATTTGATAATTGTTTTAAAGAATGGTCCAAATAAAAAAATTACACATGAAATAACTCATGACTTCTTTTTAATAGTTTAGATAGATAAATATATAATATTTATTTTTGTAAATTTGAAATAGAGTTTTAGTATTTTTGATAGCATAATCTATTTAAATTTTGTAAATAAGCATTTTCAAAACTTCATCAATTTATATTATTATTCTCATTAAAATATAATTAGAAATCTTTTAAATCATTTTAAAATTTCATTTATAAATAAAATAATAATTTTAATGATATTTTATGATAATAAGAATTTAAATTCAATGATTTACAAAAATTTAATTTAAAAAGATGCCAAAAAGATTTTGTTGAATTTATTTCATTTGTATTTCAAATAAAAAGATCAAGTTATTCAAATATATTATCATAAATTATGAATGGTCTATTTTTTAAAGAATTATACATGAATCAAGTTTGTGACTTCTGTTTTAATATCTACGATACATTGTAATGTATGTGTGTGCACTTGGTTTCACAGATAACGGCCTTGTAGCATATGTTTTTCTTTAAGGAAAAAAACAATTTGTAAGATTTATACCAGAGTTAAGCCGTTTGTCAAAAAATATGTATACATACAAGGGTGATTGTGTACAACAACCAAAAAAAATTAGTTTTTTAAAGAAAGGGGAAGAGAGATAGAAAGAAAAAAGAGGTGAGAGAGGGATTTTTTTTGTTAGTTAGTTAATTTTGTTTTTGTAGGTTATTGGACCTAATTTTCCTATATACAAGAGAGTTGATAAAAAAAAAAAAGATGGATACAAGAGAATGGAAAATAAAAGAAAAAGCCAAACTTAGCCTTCAACTCTTTTGTTTTTTTCTTTTAAGCCTTCAACAGTTCAACTCTGTAGCTATGGAAGGAAGATGATCTCACACAAACACATTCCCATGCATTCAATCTCTCTCTTCCTTATATAATCCCATCACAACTTCTCCCTCTCTCACAGATATCCACTTTCTCTTTCTAGTTTTTCAATTCTCATCACTTATTTTTTTCTCTTCTTCTCGAAGTCTTGGATAGAGCAGAGAAAGAGCAAAAGGCTTAGAACTTTTAAGCAATGTCTTTTCAATACTGTGCCCTTAACTCTGTTCAATATAACAACTTTTTCAGTACTAAAACAACAATATATCCTTCTTCTTGTTTCCTTACGATCTCAAGTGAGTGATCTCTCTCTCTCTCTCTCTCTCTGTCTTGTCAGACACGCGATCACAATGACAGAGTTTTTCATTTAATAATTATCGTTCATTTCTCTAACTTTTGTTATGTATGCAAACGAAATACTCTTGTGGGTTTCATGATGATCCGCTCTTTGATAAAGTTTTCGATGAAAATGATTTTGTTTTGTTTCCCCTAGTCCTAGAGAACAAAACAAAAAACAGAGTAATGACCCTGTTTATATGTTCTCTCAGTACACACGCATTATGCATAAGATATGTTCATCATTCGAAAGATTTCAAATATTTTGCTTTAATGTTCTCCGTTCATATTTAATATTAATATCTGATATATTATCTGATTTTGAATTTTTGTTTTTATTTCTATTTTTAAAAGAATGTCATTTTTATTACGATGCATATTAAATATGAACGGAGAACATTAAAGCACAATATTTGAAATCTTTCGAATGATGAACATATATATCTTATGCATAATGCGTGTGTACTGAGAGAACATATAATTTTATATACACTTATTAATTTTATTATGAAAGAAAACCATAATACAATACATATTAAATATTTCTTTTAAATCTATTATATTAAGAAGTCATGTGTGATATTTTAGTTTAGACCATCTTTAGAGTTTTATAAAATTTTACATAACATTATAATATCTTTTCATATCTTTAATTTTTGTTTGAAATACTAATAAATAGTTTAAAGAAAATTCTAACAAAATCTTTTAGAATCTTTTTCAAGATATAGTTTCAAAAATTATTTGATTAAAATTTTAATTATCATAAAATATAATTAAAATTGTAATTCATTTTTAGTTTATAAACAAAAAAATTAAAATTATGTAAAATACTTTTAACAATATCCCAAAATTTTGTTTATGTATTATGTAGGTCAAACTTAATTAATTTTTAGATAGATTTTAAATTTAGAAATAAAACAAAATATATAAATTAGTAATCTTACATAATAATGTTTTTAAAAATTATTACAAAAATACAAATTTATACATTTTATATTAATAATATTATAAGTCATATAAAAATGATTATAAAATTGGAGAGCATAAAAAGAATCAAATTATACTTATTTATTGATAAATTTTATTATATAATTTCAAATATTTGCGTATTAAATACCCGTACGGTTGTGCGGATCGAAATCTAGTAAAGATTAAAATAAGAATACAGTTAAAAAAAATAATATATGAGTTGGAACGTGGCTACATATTTTAAACATTGACTATATTAAAAAAATGAAATAAAAAGTTCAGTTTGAATTTATTATTACAGAAGTACGTTTCGAGAATCTAGTACTCATTACCGAATGGATTGACCTCGTATTGCATCTTAATATAATTGCCAACACCTAAAGATATAGCCCTAATAAACTAATGGTTCTTTCACGACATAAAACTAGTGTAGCTTCTTATTTATTTATTTATTTATTCATGTCTTAAGCAACTTAATTATAATCATTGTTTATCAGTAATCGTATTTAAAATTTTATTCTTTTCACAGGATCTCCTCTAGTAAGTGTGGCGAAAGACAAACCCAGAAGCTGCTCCATATCGTGTTTAAAGCTTCCAACTCAAGGTCTAATCTAATTTCAACATTAAGTATGATATTCAAGTATATATTTATTTATTTATTTTCGATATTAAATGTTTGTTACTTATGTATACAGAATTCAGTAACTCTCAGGAAATTCAACATGATCTACCTCCTATACAATGGAAACAGCTTCAAGGAGAAGATGCTTCTGGGGTGAATTCCCCTGGAGTATATCCTTTCATATTATTAAAATAGTGTTTCTATTCAGGAGAATTCCTTAGATAAAACAAAATATGACAAAAGTAGCACACAAATATAAAAGTTCCTCAAAATAATAGCTATTAAAGAGGAAAATGAATTAATTACTCTAAACCTTAAGTTTCATCTCAACTCAAAAATACTAAATTCTAATCCTTAAACTCTAAACTCAAATATAAAGGAGAATGAATTCATTACTCTAAACTAAATTCAGGAGAATTCCTTAGATAAAACAAAATATGACAAAAGTAGCACACAAATATAAAAGTTCCTCAAAATAATAGCTATTAAAGAGGAAAATGAATTAATTACTCTAAACCTTAAGTTTCATCTTAACTCAAAAATACTAAATTCTAATCCTTAAACTCTAAACTCAAATATAAAGTACAATTTTATTTTAATAAATGCTATTTTGGAATATATTTTTGTGTGTATTATTTTTGAAAAATAATATTTTAATGTTATTTTAGGAAATTTCTCTTTTATAATCTAAAAATATATATTTTCTTTGACAGAAAATAGTTTTACGACGGAATGTATCAGGACTATATATATACATAACACTCTTTTTGTTTTCAACCCTTGACAAAATATATACATAAAATTTTGTATGATGTTTAATTTAATTTTACATAGCTAATTCTGGATATGTGCACTTGTATTATAGATTGTTACTGGAAGTAATAATATTTCAATAGTAAAAGCAGTGAAGAGAGTGAAGTCGATTTTGAGAAACATTAGTGACGGTGAAATTACGATATCGGCTTATGACACAGCTTGGGTTGCATTGATCGACGCTGGAGATAAAACTCCAGCGTTTCCCTCCGCCCTGAAATGGATCGCCGACAACCAACTATCAGATGGTTCTTGGGGTGATGCACATCTCTTCGCTTATCATGATCGTCTCATCAACACACTTGCATGTGTTGTTGCTCTAAGATCATGGAACCTCTTTCCTCATCAATGCCACAAAGGTAACTTACTTCTGTATGTAAGAAAAATTCAAGAAAATATGGTCTTTTCTCCAATATATCCAAACCTTTTTTGTACAACGGGCTAAAAATAAAGTATAAATTGTTTTAATAGTTGTAAGTTAGAACATCAATCTTCTTTTTGAAAGGTTTGAATCTTTTTTCCCTATATCATTCAAAAGTATATATATATATATATATATATATATATATATATACAACTTTAATAACTGAGAACTTAGATCATTTGACATGTCTAATTTATATTATTTTGAAGAATATATATTAATTATTTTCATTGACTATTTCAGGAATCATGTTTTTCCAAGAAAATATTGAAAAGCTAGAAGAAGAAGACGAAGTACATATGCCAATTGGATTCGAAGTAGCATTTCCTTCGTTACTTGAAATCGCTCGAGGTATAAACATAGATGTACCGTATGAAACTCCCGTCTTGAAAGACATATACGCCAAGAAAGAGTTAAAGCTAACAAGGTTTGTATGCTGGGACAAAAAAAAAAGATACAATTCAATATTCTATTTTATATAAATATTTAGAATATACATATAGGGGTCCAGTGTACTTCACTCAAAGCCAAGAACAAAAGAGTTATACGCTAATATATTTTCACATGTAATATGAATAGAATAAGATATGATTTAATGATATTTTCTTTATAGGATACCAAAAGAGATAATGCACAAGATACCAACAACATTGCTGCATAGTTTGGAAGGCATGCGTGATTTAGATTGGGAAAGGCTTTTGAAACTTCAATGTCCAGATGGATCTTTCCTCTTCTCTCCTTCCTCTACCGCTTTCGCATTCATGCAGACCCGAGACAGTAATTGTCTCAAGTATTTGCGGAATGCCGTCAAACGTTTCAATGGAGGAGGTTCGTAAGCTAGTAACCACTTGTCCTGTTAGTATCTATCGATTTTTTTTCTTACTAGCATTAATGTCTATATGGTAACATATAACATCTACTTTTTTTTTTGTTCAGTAACTTTGTTTAGTTCTACTTTTCAGTTCCCAATGTCTTTCCTGTGGATCTTTTCGAACACATATGGATCGTCGATAGGCTACAACGGTTAGGGATATCGAGATACTTTGAAGAAGAGGTTAAAGAGTGTCTTGACTATGTTCACAGGTTATAAAAAACGTTACATATATATAATATATATTAGCTTCATATGTGTAACAAAGTAGTTTTAGTCTAATGATGATGATCATAAAATATCAGATATTGGACATACAAAGGCATCTGTTGGGCTAGATGTTCCCATGTCCAAGACATCGACGACACTGCCATGGCTTTTAGGCTCTTACGACTTCATGGATACCAAGTTTCAGCGGGTAAATATTAATCTTTTTTTTTCTTTCTTTTGGTAATATCTTTTCACATTTTAACCAAAGTAAAACTTGAATTTAGATGTATTCAAGAACTTTGAGAAAGAAGGAGAGTTTTTCTGCTTCGCGGGGCAATCAAACCAAGCGGTGACCGGTATGTTTAATCTATACCGGGCATCACAATTGGCATTTCCAAGGGAAGAGATATTGAAAAACGCCAAAGAATTCTCTTCCAAGTATCTGAAACATAAACAAGATAAAGACGAGTTGATTGATAAATGGATTATAATGAAAGACTTACCTGGCGAGGTACGTTACATATAATATAAGATCAGAAACAAACAAATTACAAATGGTTCCAAAAAACATTACATTTGCAATTATGCACTATATGCTATTTTCATCTGATGGTGATGGAGAAGGAAAACGACAAAGCGCGTATCTGTTTGTTTTTTTTGCTTATATTTCAGTTTTTGATATATTTTTTTGCATGTTAGATTGGGTATGCGTTAGAGATTCCATGGTACGCAAGCTTGCCTCGAGTGGAGACGAGATTCTATATTGAGCAATATGGTGGAGAAAACGACGTCTGGATTGGAAAAACCCTTTATAGGTACTTCCTGTTTTAAAATTTATTTATTTTGCATTGCGTAGTGAATGCAAAACAAATGCGTTGCATTAACTATTTAAAAGGAAGCATGAGCTGACTGTGTATGTGTGGGAGATAAGGTACTTTGGTCATTTAGTTTATTTATACGACCTAGCGAGGTGAGATGAATCAAAACAATTGCAGATATCTAACATATATAGCGTGTTCTTTCTACGTTTAGTTGATCAACTAATGATGTTGGTGGACAATGCAGGATGCCATATGTGAATAATAATGAATATCTGGAATTAGCAAAACAAGACTACAACAATTGCCAAGCTCTGCATCAAGTCGAATGGGACACCTTCCAAAAGTAATAGCATCTCCACTCTTCTTTCTTTTCCAATAATTATGGCTTTAAAGCGCTATAGTATTTAGTTAATAAGTTGAGAAAAGTTAATCAGTTGTTCCAGTTTAGTGTTAAATCTATCTTTATTTTTTTTACTCTATATAAATAAATAATTAATTAATAAATGTGTATGTAGGTGGTATGAAGAAAATAGGTTAAATGAGTGTGGTGTGTGCAGAAACGAGCTTCTAGAGTGCTTTTACCTAGCGGCTGCGACAATCTTTGAAGACCATAGGTCAGATGAGAGAATGGCTTGGGCCAAATCAAGTGTATTGGTGAAAGCCATATCATCTTCTTTTGGGGAATCCTCTGAGTCAAGAAGAAGCTTATTCGATCAATTTCAAAAAGATCGAGGAAGTGATCATCATTTCAATGACAGGTAAACTACACTTATGAAACATATGTTACATATTACTGTTTTAATATAACTATACTTATAATATTAACGTCGTACTATCCCCTATATATTAATTGAGAAACATTTGAAAAGATGTAACCTCAAGTTTGTATTAATTAAAAAGTAACCTTGCTTAGTTGTCAATCAATTAGCATATCAATTAAACTGACGTGGCGGCTTTAGGTTCAATTGAAATTTGCTAGGGAAAAATAATTAGAGACGCATATAACGCATGTAACATAGTTTATATATTNCCCTATATATTAATTGAGAAACATTTGAAAAGATGTAACCTCAAGTTTGTATTAATTAAAAAGTAACCTTGCTTAGTTGTCAATCAATTAGCATATCAATTAAACTGACGTGGCGGCTTTAGGTTCAATTGAAATTTGCTAGGGAAAAATAATTAGAGACGCATATAACGCATGTAACATAGTTTATATATTTATATATTTATATTTATATATATCGCACGCATGTAATGGAAGAAAAGGAAAATATACGATTTGATAACGATTTGCATATATTAACTATAATAACTTCATTCCTTTTAATTTATGGAAGTGTATATGTAAAATGGAAAATACTTAAATTCAAATAATCATAACGTAATTTATAAATCATTGGTGTAAAGTTTTGTACACAAATATGCAAATAATCATAAAATCATATGAGTAGAAACCTCATTTAATAAATATCCATATTAAAAGTGTGCTATATTACTATGTTTATATCATTTAAATTTAATTATATATCATATACAATATATAAGATTGATTATTTAGATTTATTTACCCTAATTGTGAATAAACAAGAGTAATAGTTAAATTTATATGCATACGCCAATTTGTTACATAATAGTAATTGATTTCTTAGTTATTTAATATATATATATATATATTTATTATTTTATTATTTATAATATGCAGAAAAATATAAAATAAATAATAAATATAAAATACTTATTGTACATAAAGTGCAGATCTTAACCTAAGTATTTATCTGTTTAATTATTTTGAAACTTAAATATTTTCTAAATTTCAGGTCAAAACAAACAAACGAAATGAGAATAAAATTCAAAATAAATATTTATACCGAGTAATAACCAAAATTTAAAAAAAAAAACATAGCAAGAGAAAAATGGAAGATAAATAGGATTGACACGTGAACGTAAACTTCTCATAACTGGAAGATAAATAGGATTGACACACGTAAACTTCTCATAACCATAATTAATTTTTAAATTGTTAAATCATGATATAAAACTGAGTTAATTTTTAATTTGTTAACTTTTAATTTTTTTAATTTTTTAAATCATTATGGCTATGTTAAATCATGACAATAATTAATTTTAAATTGTTTATTTGTATTCAAAAAACTTAAAATATTGCTTTTAAAAATAATTTTANGAAAAGTAAAAAGATATATGAAATCAGATCCATTAAATTCTAAGATTTGATTTACATTTCTAATTAAAGTTGTTTTTGATCATACGTATAGATAATTATATAAAAATTCCAAAATTCTAAAATTTCAAATACATACAAAAACAATCATATGTAAATTTTAAATTTGTGAATATTAAAATTTTATATTTTAATTACATATCCTAGTATACCAGTATACGTCAACTGAAATTTGTATAAGAATAAAAAAGCATATTAGTTCCCGAGAGTCCCATTTTTTTTTTTTAATTGTGTGTGTTTAGAGTATGTGTATCTTGAATTATTTGTTTTAAGTGATTGAATTATTTGTTTTAAGCGATGGACTTATAGCAATTTAAAATTTGATGAAGTAACTTAAAATAACTGCTTAATTTCTCCGGATTCTGCTATAAAATAGCTCACCATCAATCTTTTTAATGCTGGTAATATTTAAATTTATAAATCTACTGGTTTATGCCCCATCTAGGCATCTAGTGCTTTTACGTTTAACCCTAATCCATTGAAATAGAACTATAACGGCTGTTTGTTTTGTCAAAGACTGTTTGTTTTGCGGCAGAAAACACCAAACTGTTTTAAAAGCTTTTGTCCAATTAACTAGAATAAAGGATAGTTGACAAAAAAATAACTAGAATAAAGGATAAGTTCATTCGACCTAATTTAGATTTAATAGAAGAAAAAAAAAACTGTCAGTTTCGCGGATGATGTGGAGACAATCCCCTATATATTAATTGAGGAACATTTGAAAAGATGTAACCTCAATTTTGTATTAATTAAAAGAGGCCCCAATGCTTATGTGTCATTCAATTAGGTAGTCAATTAGATTCAATTGAAAAATAAGTAAGTCCACATTGGATTTTTATAGGTTACTAGATACATTAGTTAGTCAAACTATATGATATAATGATATGATATGATATTTTCTTTCCATAAATAAAACCTACGGAATTACCATAAATGACTAATATATATATGACACTTAATGATTATTCCCTAAGATATAATTACTATTTTATTTTATTTCCATAAATAAAACCTACGAAATTACCATAAATGACTAATATATATATATGACACTTAATGATTCTAATAATAAATATTTGATAACAGTTTATATATCCTCCATCATTTTTCTTTAATTTATATTATTAAAATAAATTAAACAATCAAATTAGTTATAAAATTAAACTTTAGATTTTTTTTGTATATGTTATATTTTGAGTTTTAAGAAACGAGAATAAATAACTAAACTATTAAAATTATAATGTTAAAAATTAATGATCAATAGTTTAACATTTTATTATAAAAAGATATACATGATTTTAAAACCATATAAGTAAAAAGTATCATTCAATAATAAAAAATATATATATACAGATTAAACTATACCATATAAGATTACATAAATATTTTAATTTCAAAATTTTCAATAAATTTGCAAGAACATTTATAAATTATAAACTTATTAAATTTTTCACATTGAAATTTTTTGTTATCAATGATTTAAATATCTTAGTTCTTTTTTAATTTTATATTTTTAAAAGATATTAACAATTGATAATATGGTTATTTTTGGTATATACCATACAAACCGAATGTATGTGATTTTATAAAAACCATAGGATTTGTATATGGTTTGATTTATAATCGATTAAACTGAAACATGTAAATATGTATATATTTATAACGACGCATGAATATCTATTTGTTACATGAGTTGAACAATAATTATAATTTGTAAATAGCTAACAATTTATTACAACTAAGACTTCTTATTTTGATCTTTTGTTTTTTTAACAATAACTAAATTGAAGTAAAGATTATAAATTTGATGGACAACAATTAGTTGAAATTCTTTACAACTTTTTTTATCTTTAAACAAACAGAGTTGTGTTCAATCGAAGACATATTGGTTTGATGAACACAAAATATGGAAGAATATAAAAACTTTTCTTTCATGCTTCTGTTTTGTTTTGTATTTTTATTTTCAAAATTTAGTGTTTTGATATTAATTCTAGATTTGATCATTTTATTAAATGATAGAAGCTTTTTTTGTTTTTTATTCTTTTATTTAAATATATAATATTTTTTTAATAAATGACTCTGTGACAATATGACTCTAAATATGATCATATTATATATTTGTATAATATATAATATGATCTCAAACTAAATAATTATGTTTTTTGGTATAAAATTGAATAAACTGAAAACCGATGGTATATAAACCAAATCAAACTGAAGTACANATTTTTTTAATAAATGACTCTGTGACAATATGACTCTAAATATGATCATATTATATATTTGTATAATATATAATATGATCTCAAACTAAATAATTATGTTTTTTGGTATAAAATTGAATAAACTGAAAACCGATGGTATATAAACCAAATCAAACTGAAGTACATATAGATTTAGAATAGTAGTTATATTTTAATGATCAAAATACCAAAAAATCGAGCCGAACCGAAACCCGATATCCGGATTGAACACCTCTAATCCGAATGAAACTGAACTATTTTTTCATTTTTAAAAACATAATAAAAATAATAGCTTCATCCCGCGCAAGGCGCGGGTCTTATCCTAGTTTGTTTTTTAGAGCATGTCCAGTAGCGAGAAAGCTATCAAAGTATCTCACAAACAGAAATATCAACACTGGATAAATTTATTTATGAATAAAATTTTGAAATATAAAAACATAATTAAACCAATCATGAATTGACACATTTGTAAGAAAACATATTCTTGGGTTCGTCCCCTCAGCAACTAGTATAATTATGTTATTTCATATTTAATATCTTTTAAAAGAGAAAACAAAATATTATTAATTTTTTTATATTTTTAAAATTAAAAGATAAAAAATAATTATTGTGAAAAAAATATTTTTTTTATTGAATATTATTAATGCCGCCAGCAAAACACTAAAACCTAAATCCTAAACACTAAAACCTAAATCCTAAACACTAAACTCTTGGATAAACCCTAAGTTCTTAGATAATTTCTCAACCCTAAATCAAAAATACTAAATCGTAAAAACACTAAACCCTTAATCATAACCCTTACACCATTGGATAAAAATAAATAAAAAAGTAATAATTGCTTAAAAACTAGAATTTTTAAAAATATTTTTAACACCATCAACAAAACACTAAACCCTAAATACTAAACACGAGATCTTAAACACTAAACTCTAAACCCTTGATAAACCATAAAACCTAGGGTTTATAACACTAAACACTAAATTTAATCAAAAACATTAAACACTAAATTTTGAAACACTCAACCTTTAATCATAATCTCTAAACCCTTGAATAAATTGTAAGCCTTAACACTAGGATTAAGGATGTAGTGTTTTAAAATTTAGTGTTTAGTGTTTTTGTCCTAAGTAAAATATTGTTTCCATAAAACAAACAAACAAAGTAAAAGCTGATTGCGTACGTGTTTTTTATTCTATTAAAACATAAGTACAAAACAATTTTTGCCTATTTTTAAATGATTTTTTTTACAGATTTTGTTTCCATTTTAGGTAATTCTAATCACTTCATTTTATGTATTATCTAAATAATCACTTCAATTATTGTATTTTCTAAATAATCACTTCATTTATTATCTTGCCTGAATATGGAATCCGTATGGATTCGGTTTTGATGTATGGAAAATTTAAAATATCATAAGAACTAATGTATCCGAAATGTGTTCGAATATTTGTACCAAAACTAACCATAGTAACTGATTCGATTCAGGTATTTTGAAATCCAAACTAAAAATAACTAAAAGTAATCATAATATCCGATTTGATTCGGTTCAGTACTAATGTATAGAACTTAAAAATATTCAGTTAATTATACAAAGAGACATATAAAATATATAACTTAACTTATGGAATCAAATATTAGTTTATAAAATATAAAATTTAACATCCGCACGGACGTGCGGGTCAATCTCTTGTTTGATTTAAAATGTAAGCAACTTAACAGAAAACAAGAAGAAAACCCTAGTAGAAGCAGTTGATTGACTAATTTGGCTACATTATAAAAATGTATGATGGATATGAAAACAATTATAGGAGCATGATATTAGAGCGACCAGGATCGATTCAGGCGAGTCGGCTTGTTGGAGTCTTAATCGAAACATTGAATCAAATGTCCTTCGACATTTTCATGTCTCATGGGCGTGACGTTAAAAATCTCATCTATCAGTCGGTACGTTTCGCTCTTATTTTTCTCCTTCCAATGTTCTTATTCCCCGCCTTGCATGTTCATAGGTTAATATATATTTCTATATTTTTGTTACGAAGATATTTAAAACTTAATCCGTATTTAGTAAAAATAATCCATAAATTTAAATTTAAGAAAAATTGAATATAGTATGTTATTATTTATAATAAATAATAATTTACCTCAGAAAGTTAGCTCACTTGTTGAAAATTATAAGTTTGGACCGAACCACATTATATAGGTGGAATTTTCAAATGTGTTAAACTCAGGACCGGTCCGGAGCATAGGTAATATAAGAGATTGTTTAGGGTATCAAGATTTTAAGTGATAATATTAGTTATATATAGGGCACTAAATTTTTTTTATATGGATGATAAAGACATAAAGTTTTAAATAAACCTACGAAATCAAGAAGAAAATGAAATGTAGGACCGGCACTGCTTAAACTTTAACATTAATATTGAAAACAATAATATATGGAAAATATGTATTGAAGATTATACAATTGCATGTGTTACTTATCAATGTATTTATAGTGGGAAGATTGGCTGGAGAACTGGAAATTAGATGGAGGAGAAGGAGAGCTCATGGTGAAGATGATCATTTTAATGAAGAAAAATGACCTAAGTAGCTTCTTCTCTCATCCTCACTTTGTTCGCCTCTCAGAAATCATCAACCAAATCAATCTTATTGCCCAATATTTAAAGGTTAGTAATTTATTAGGTCATACTTCATACGTTTCGAATTATTTGTCATTATAGAGAAAAAAATTCGTTTTAGAATAAAAACAATTGTCGTTTTAGAGTTTCGAGACAAAATTTATTAGGTTTATATGATATTCTATTTTTCTATTGGTTGAAAAGTGGTTAGGTGTATAGGTAATTGTGTTTTTATCTTGAAAATATGTAAAATTAAATGTTTCCTTAATTTATGTTTAAAAACCTAGAATGACAAATAAAATGAAACGGAGTGAGTATTACTTTTAGAACTACAATCAAATGTTGGTAAACTCCACTCAAATAACCATGACCCGTCTACGTTTTCCGAAGTAATGCATGATAAGAAACAATTCATTTCATGTTTTTCTCCCAAAAATTCAGTCCCATAACTAAATTTGATGTCCAAGTCAGTAACTTCTTTGCATGTGTTGTGGACCATGTAAAATCAATTGTAAGCGATTGTTCCATCCGATGTTACTAATCAAGTATGAGCACCAGATCATACTTGAATAAATGTATATATATAGAAACCTAAGTGATCAATTATCTTAATACAGGCGAGGAGAAACGATAAGAAGGAGAAGACAATAAAAATAATGGAGAATGAGATGGAGCAAATGGTTGAGTTAGTATTGTCAGAGACTGGTACCTTCCGTGATGTCAAAATCACTTTTCTCGATATAGCAAAGGCTTTTTACTATTCTGCTTCATGGGGTGATCATCTCCAAACTCACATAGTGAAAGTCTTATTTCAAAAAGTCGTATAGCCTCATCAGTTTCTATGCTATGTTTAATTAGTAATTAATGGATCATTAATTCATGATTCTATAGATATTGTTCATGGATAATATACATGTAGAGAAGGTATGTACAAATCAAACCTTGGATAGTTTACATACCCTACATTGTCAATAGATATGAGTACTCAAAAAAATTTTTCAAGATGAAATCAATATTTTTAAATTCTTCTTGATTTTATTAATTATAAATTATATTAATAATCAACTCAGAACCAGACATGTTACACGGTTTACAGAAAAACTGATCGAATAATATCAGAATAACCAAAAACAATCAAAATTAAACGATTTTATAGAAAACCCTAAACACTAAACTGAGGAGCTGCCCGTCCCTTTAGCTGCCACCGCCAACAAGTATAGAGATTCTCCACCGTCATCAACAACGGATATCTCAGAAATTTCTCCGTCAAGGTACCATCACCTCGGTGACAACCCCAGTCAACGTCGGAGTTTGTCATTCTTAATAAGGAAAAAAAATCTTGTCATTCTTTTTCCGTTGATTTTTCTATTACATCAGGCGGTAACAAACGATGTTTAAACCATGTGAATCTTTAAAGACACAGACACTCTTCACTATTAGATCATCACTATGTAAATGACCATGAATAATTTTGGTAGAATCTTGTTTTGTTTCATTGTTACTTTAGGATCCTCTGGCATTCTTAATCGTAAAGTCTTGTATATAAAAATATATTTTCTGTAACTTTTAATTAAATATATTTTCTGTAACTTATAATTAAATATATTTGGATATACATACTGAGTGGCCATAATGTAGGTGTGATGTTGCAGAAGAAACATAGGAAGATATGCAGAGATTAGCATAAGAGCCCTCTCATGCAGATGTCATATCAAACCGACGCCTCACTTTTCTAGAGATCACTTTGTTTTTTTCGGCGTGATTTTGTTTGTCGTTACTTGGATGCCTTTAAAAAGTTATTTTCGTGTGGCAGAGAGACAAGCTCCACTTTAAACACACATGATCTTGATGACTAGGTTTTGTTCTCTTTTCTTTGGACATCAAACAGCCAACTAATTAAGACATTATCATATGATCGAATCTATCTAGATTCTCTCCGAAGAAAGCAGAAAGCGGATCAGGCGTTGCGGATCTAACGGATCAAACGAAACAAATAAAATAAAAATGGATTAAGCGGATTGAGTGGAGCAAGAGTGGATCTAGCGGTTCCAAATATAAATTTGAAAGGTGAAAATGGATAAAGAATGATTCAAAATACTGTACAAATTTAAATTAATTTATATAAAATTTTATCTACTATTTATTTTAATAAGTAAATCATTTATTTAAATATAATTTCTAAATGATATAATTATATTAAATTGGCATAAAATCAATTTAAATTATTTCTCAAAAATAATTAAATTTTTATTTACAAAATTATTTACTTAATTTAAAAAAATATTACTATCTTTCATAATTAAAGTAGTTATTAAAAATATAATTTTAATGTCAAAAATATAAATTTGAATTCAAAATATAATAGATATTAATTTAAAGATATATATATATATATATATATAATTATATTGAGCTTTAAATTAAATATAAAAAATAAATAACTTTCGATTATTTTAAAGCAATTATATTTTTTGGTAAAAATATAATTTTGAGCTTTAATATTAACTGACACATCAAAATTATATAATAGTTTTGAGTTATTAAAATAATTATGCTGTTGGGCTTTAGTATTACATAATACATCGATTTTAACATATTAAAAAATATGGAAGAAAATAACTTATTGTTAAGAGCATAAAATACAATGACAAGTAAAATATTATATATGACCACGTTGGGTGTTTGGATAATTTTATAGATTATGTAAATCATATTTTCTTTAATATTAGATTTTTGGAGATGTTTCTGTGACAAAAACCATTTAAATATAAAATTATCATGTATTACATATTATTAAAACATAAAAATGTATCTAAAAAATGAACAGCTAGAAACATTCACAAATAGCTGAGCTATCGTAGTTGGTGTTCCCTAACTTTTTCTCACAACCTTGAACCATTAGACAGTTCATTATTAAAAAAGTGGATCCTCCTACAATTAAAAATAATATGTTGAATAGAAAACTAAAGGACAGTTTACACACTTAAGTGTTTTTCTCATCTTTTTTTCTGCTCCCCAATTAGACTCATAGACGAGGATGAAATGAAATGATAGTATACTGGTTACTCTTTTTATCTTTTTTTTTTGTGCACCAAATATAGATTAAACTTAAAAGGCTCCAGGCCCAATTGTTAGCCCAAAAATGGATTCAATATAGAATCATAAATCAGACAAGCTTTGCCAATACATCGTTTTTTTTATTCTGTTCGCGAGGGATATAGGAGAAAGAAACATTGACGAAAGCAGAGGAGACCTGGTGGATATCAGCGATGATTCCATGAATTTCCTTGACCTGCATGTTATTAGAGATTGCTGGAATGAGCGTTATGTTATCGGAGGACACCTTGAGTGTTGAGATTCCAAGAGTCGCTGCTTTGATGAGAGCTAGTCTCATCGCTATAGATTCTGCCATAAGTGGGTAGTTTACAAAAGATTGGGTGCATGATCCGCTGTGAGGGGTAGACGAATCGGAGGTTGAGAAGATCCATGCAAGATCCGCTTGATTTGTATGTCGGTTCCAAGCCGCATCCATTTTGCAGTAGGTTGTCATCGGTAGATCTGTTGGTGGACTTGCATTTCTCCGGATGAACCGGTAAGTTCCCTGTCTTTTGTGTACCTGGTCCATTGGCGCTCGTCCATTTCCTTGCTAATCTGAGACTCCTTGTTGCGATTTCTTCAGGTGTGTAGGTGTGATCTTCAAAGATTTTAGAGTTTCTTGCTAACCAAATAGACCAGCATACCGGTAAAATAATGTTAAAGACTCCTGTCGGTGGGAGGCAGGTCGCATTCCTGAATTTAACCAGGGCCTTTTTGAAAACAGCCTCCGTAGCTAGGTGAACTACTCTATGGAGGGGAATCTGCTGCTACACTTTCTTTGTTGAGGTACATTCAAAGAATAAATGCATTGTCGTTTCAATACCTTGACAGAAAGGGCATGATATGTTTGCTTGGATTCATTTTTTTTTGCAGGTTGTTTCCAAAGGTAATGCATCTTGAATGATAGACCACAAGAAAACCCTCATATTTGGGGAGAAATTTCCAGTCCACACTTCCTTTAACCAGTCAAAGCCTGTTTTGTTTGCCATTGGTGGTTCTGTTTTGTTCCTATGAACTGAGTTGTAGCCTGATCTGGTAGTATATATCCTTGACTTGACTGGCTGCCATACATATATATATATCTTCAGCCTCCTGTTCACTTGGTCTGAGGCACTTGATTTGCGCTGTTAACTGAGGTAACACTTCTTCAATTCTCGTTGTATTCCACTGCAAGTCCGAGGTCAGTAGGTCAGCCACTTTTAGGTCAATGAAGGACTCTGGGATAGGACCGTAGGGTCTGATGTTTTCATCTAGTGAAATCCATGCATCCTTCCATACGCTTGTGGTCATTCCATTTCCTATGGCTCTCCCTAGATGTTTTATTAGGAGGTCTCAGCCATGCAGTATACCATGCCATCGTGTGAGCAAGCTCCTGGTAGTGTAACCTCTAGAAATTTTTTTTTTATGGCAATACTTCCCCATTAAGACATGAGCTACTAGACTTTCCGGGTTGTTTAAAATTCTCCACGCTTTCTTAGGTAGTAAGGCCTGATTGAACATTTGAGTGTCTCTTAGTCTTAAGCATCCATATGCTTTATGTCTCGTTAGTTTCTCCCAGGAGACCCAACACATTTTTTTCTTATCTTCTGAGACATCCCACCAGAACCTTGTTAGTACAGATTGCAGTCTTTTGCGAAGACTAGCTGGCAATTTAAAACATGACATGGTGTATGCAGGAATAGCCGTGAGAACTGACTTCAGCATTGTGAGCTTTCCTGCTTTGGATAGGCGTCTTGTAGACCAGCTTACAGCTCTCTGTCGAACTCTATCTACAATAGAAGTGAAGAGGTCTTTTTTCTTTCTGTCAAAGTGCTTTGGTAATCCCAAATATTTTCTTGACCCTCTTTCTTTTGTGATTTCTAGGATGTTTTTTGCTGACTCTTTTGTATCTATAGGTGTTTTGGATGCAAAGGTGACTGACGATTTTTCCTTGTTTATTCTCTGGCCCGATGCTTCCTTGTAGACTGCCAGTATCGTCTTAAGTTTGTTGCAGTTTGATGTAGTGGCCTCACAAAAAACATGGTATCATCCGCAAAGAGCAGATGGTTTACCTTTGGACTCCTGCGAGCCACTCTAACTTCTTTCAAGGTACCTTCTCTTGCTGCCTTTGAGCATAATCCTGATGAGACTTCCCCGCATAGTATGAAAATATAAGGTGATAGTGGGTCTCCCTGTCTTATCCCACGTTTAGGTGTCACCGAACCTTGCTCTGAGTCATTGATTAAATAGAAGTAGGTAACTGTTGAGATACATTACATTATCCAGTTGTTCCACTTCTCATGAAAGCCTAGTCTCCTTAACACTTGTGACACTGATTCCCACTCAATCCTATCATAAGCTTTTGACATGTCAGTCTTCACTGCCATTGTGCTATGTTTTTCCGCTTGAGAAATTTTCAAAAAGTGTAGTACTTCATGCGTAATCAGCAGATTTTCTGAGATATCCCTTGCTGAGACAAATGCAGGCTGGTTTTCCGAAATAACTTTGCATAGCACTGTTTTTAGCCTCATAGATAGAAACTTAGAGATTATCTTGTAGAAAACGCTGCATAACGCTATTGGCCTGTAATCTGCCACTCTCTTTGCTTCTGTATATTTTGGGATCAGTCTAACCTGTGTGTCATTTGGAGATGGGGAAGGAACCTGTTGTGATGAAGTGCTAAATTTCCTTTGTCACCGCGGGACCTACCACCTCCCAATTGGATTGGAAAAATCTGGCCGAGAAACCATCC